AACCAATGGATCAAAAAATGTTCTCCATGAGGTGTACAAATAAAAATTCACACAAGACACAGCTAAAATCTACAAACCAAATGGAAATAAATTGTCATAAAGACATCATTGTCATCATCATTAACAAATATAGGGAACTAAATCATGCGTCTGGCTAGACTAGCTGAAACAAAAGTTTTCCCCCAGGCGTCTCAAACAATACAGTGAAGGTGCCTACCTAGTGTTAATTTGAAGGGAGTTTCAAAGCACAGGTTTTGCCATTCTTAAAGAAAGACCCCTTTAGTGATTATACCAGCCCCATAGCGCTTCCAGTCTGTTGCTATTTGGGGATGGGATTCAATCACATGCCAGCAAATTCAGGTTGTGCAATCAAAGCTGATTTGGATCCCTTGCACAAAACGTCCCCTCCCCTCCCCACACCACCATAAGATTTTGTGCAATAAGGAAACTGTAAGAGAAATACACTGAGAAGTGTGTGATAATATTTGATTGAAGCAACATTGTTTTATCTTCCCCGCAAACAAATCTGAATAAATGCTCAATAAGTAGCTGATGTTGTCTCGCCTCCCTGTCAATTTAGAGCTAACAAATCAGGATGAATGCTTAATATTCAGGGCATCTGGGACCAATAGTACTCTGGAAGAGCTCACAGTGGCTGATTCTCATGATCCTTTTTCTTCATTCCTACTCCCACTCCCCGTCCCCCATTTTTTGCAAACCTGAGATGATTTCTGCAAGTCATCACCTTCTCTACATAAGTGGAAATTGCACAATAAGAATGAACAATGCAATCGTGAAGTTCTAAATTTGTGCAAACGAAACAAAGTGTGCAGAACTTCCTTAGCACCAGCTATCAGCAATATCTCAATTGTCTTTGGTGCCTGTTGAAGACCTTCACTTTTCAACAAGCTTTTTAACTAGAGATCTTTGTCCCTGACCATATCTATATTGAATGTGTAAGTGTTTTATGCATGAAATGGCTTTTAATTGTTTGTATATATGGTTTTTTTTGTGTTTTTTTTTAAAAGACATATTTATAATTGTTTTCACATGTGGAATTGTGTGGGGGTTTTTGTGTTGATGCATTTACTGTGAAATCACTTTGAAAAACCACATTGGAAGTAATTCAGAAACGGAATAAAATAAATTAATCTGTTACTGGTAACTGCTGGCACTTGGGAAATGAACCATAGTATCTGCAAATCCCTTTTCGTGTAAGCGCTGCTTTTACATGGTGCATATATGGCAGGTAGGTGTGGCTTTGACCTAATGGCCTTGTGGGCAGAATGGAGAAGCCTGGTGGTCCTAATTAAACCCACAGCCAGATCTCCACCCCTGAATTCATGAGAAGACATATCAAGAGTGCACAAGCAAACAAGGAAAAATACTCTTTTTATAACCATCCTGCAAACAAATAAGAATGAATGTCATTAAGACTGGACACAGGGTTCAGTCATATGTTGGGATTAGTGAGTTAGTTTTCCTGGTTACAGTGGTACCTCTGGTTGCAAACAGGATCCATTCCGGAGGCGCGTTCGCAACCTGAAAAGAACGCAACCTGCATCTGCACGTCTGTGCACGTGCGGGTCGCGATTCCCGCTTCTGCGCATGCACATGATGTCATTTTGTGTGTCTGTGCATGTGCGAACGGTGAAACCCGGAAGTAACCCGTTCTGGTACTTCCGGGTTGCCGCGGGATGCAACCTGAAAACGCTCAACCTGAAGCAAACGTAACATGAGGTACGACTGTATAATGTTAGCAGTTCTCTCCCAGTTCCTAGTGTTCCTTTTTCACTGAATTATCTGTTGTGTTATGAAGTTTTAGCTTTTCTGATCAATATACTGCCATGTCATGATAAATCTCATTCAAGCCAGTTAGTTGTGGTGTGACTCAGCAGTGGACGCAATTGGACCTGATGCCATCCTTTGTGTCTTTTTGCTTCTGTTCTCCTACGACTCACCCATGAAAAGAGCAAGACAGAATTAATATGCTGGAGTGCTGCTCCAATTTTTGTTTTACTGTATAGTGATGAGAAATTATAGGTCAAAGCTCCTGTGATAATCCAAGTTAACAGGGTCACATTTATTTATTTATTTATTATTATTTTACTGGAAGCAATTATTTAAAAAATGATCACTAAACTTCTGTTACATTTCCAAAATAGGGAAAGTATTAAATAAGGAAACATCGGGGAAATCGAATAAAGTGGTGTCTGAATGCAGCCTCAATCTAACCTCCACGTAAAGTTTGTGCAAACAAATCAGGACAAATGCTTGATAAACAGGTCACCTGGAGGTGGAAAGTCTTGAAGAAATCTGGTCCCAGCCGCTCAGTTCTCCCTCTCCACTTTTGCAATCGTACATTGCTGATATGCCACATCTTAAGAGTTGGTACAGCAACTCTTAAGACAAGTTCTCAGTGCTAAAGTATTTATAGCACTTTGTTCCTTGAGCCACCCTTACTTAACTGAAGATTTCTTCTTCTTCTTTTTTTCCCTTTTGTGAAGAAATTATGCAAGGTAAAAATTCTATCTTTGCTTTATGACAGTCCCATTAATTACAGACGGAGAGCTGAACCGTTATGCCGTTTAAGAAGTTTTCACAATTAAAAGTTTTATTCCTGGAGGAACTGGAAAACAAATGAAACACCACCAGCAAATTAAAGGCTTTATAGGTCAGCCATCCCATTAGGTCTCTTTAGGGATGCTGTTCGCACATAAAGCATGCCATAACCTATTTGCATAATGATTCTATCTTAACTGTGCCTTCTGCTCGGTTATGGTGTGTTGTTTATCCTTCTGTAGAGCTGATATTGTAGAAATGCAGGGACTTTGGAAGCTGCTATTTATGGCAGGCAGAAATGCTGCCATCTTCAAATACATTTAGCGCCAACAATAGAAGCAAAACTCAGGCAGGAAACAACAAATTAACACAGAGCAATCAGTTTGCATTGTTATTATTATTATAATTTTGCCATCACTTTTTCGACACGTTCTGTGGAGGACATCTGTTTTCCAAGCACGTGGCATTGGGGATGGGGAAGTTCAGGGCCTGAGCATCAAATGCTGCCCTTAACTCTTTTGTAATTCACCTTTGGGGGTCTGCTATACTATACCACCTCAACCGCAGACCCTCCCCCCAGCTGCATCACTCACAGACTCTACTTGACCCTTTAGATATAGATATATTACATTGTTTGTTTGTTTGTTTGCTTGCTTGCTTGCTAAAAGGTTTTGGCTTCCAGCTTCATCTGATAAAAATTCAGTGGTGTGGCAGCTATACTGTTTTGCAGATGGAATGCTCAGGATTCCATGCTTCATTCGCTGAAGCTAAGCGATGATGGCACTGACCTCCAAGTTGAGGCCCTATGGTATCAACGTGTTCGGTGCGTACATTCAGAAGTGCTTCCTTGCCAACAATGATGGCACGCTTGGGAGCTCTGTAACAATTTTTAGTAAGTCTGACAGGTTGTCATTCTGAGAATTGAAATGTTTGGCAACTTCCTCCATTGTACAGTGGTACCTCGGGTTACATACGCTTCAGGTTACAGACGCTTCAGGTTACAGACTCCGCTAACCCAGAAATAGTACCTCATGTTAAGAACTTTGCTTCAGGATGAGAACAGAAATTGTGCTCTGGCAGCACAGCGGCAGCTGGAGGCCCCATTAGCTAAAGTGGTGCTTCAGGTTAAGAACAGTTTCAGGTTAAGTACAGACCTCCAGTTCTTAACCAGAGGTACCACTGTACTCCTTTGTAATTTTGGTTTTAAATTCTTTATATACATTTTCCTTTCTCTTTTTAACATCATCACACCTTGTTTCACATAAACCATTTAGGGATTTTGCATGTTACGTGGCATATAAATATTGTTTAGGGAAGTTTTTAATATTTAATGCTGTATTGTTTTTAACACTTGATTGGAAGCTGCCCAGAGTGGCTGGGGAAACTCAGCCAGATGGGCGGGGTATAAATAATAAATTATTATTATTATTATTATTATTATTATTATTATTACCGATGGTGAGTTTGATTATTGTTCTACTTTGGGGGGGGGTGTTGTGTGCATCAAAATTGTGTGTAACTAGTTTATTTCATACTGTTTTTAATACTGGATTTTGAAAATTACTGGGACCCACCCTAGGACCTTATAGTGAAAGGTGGGCAATAAGACAAATAAATAAATAATATTTTGCATACTTCTTGAGCATTATTCCCTGGATAGAATGCTCCTGTGAACTCTGATCATACCCACTTGTTCCTAGGGACTGAGGCAGCCCCCCCCCCGTCAATGTTTTTGTTGAGGGAGCCCGGCCCCCTCAATGTTCAGCAATGCCCCGTGACTCATCCTAACATCATGCATGTGAAGTCAGGATGTTGTGCGATGTTGTGACTGGGCCCCTGACTCTGATTCTGATAATGCCTCTTACATGGCTAGATGGAGGGCAGTGTGTGTGTGTGTGTACCTGTATAGACCAGTGTGGGTTTTAAGTGGGTACTCATGGGTACACAGTACTGGCACTTACTGTAACAACTTAATGGTGAGTACCAGCACCTATTTTTCTAGGACAAAAGCACCGATAGAACCTAACCTATCCAACACAAATTTTGCACTGCTTAGGCCACTTTTTCTTCTGACTCTGCCCACCACAGGCCACAGAAGTTTGCAAAGAAAAGAATGTGGCCCTTAGGCTATGTACACCAATCGAATCTACACAAAAATGCATCATAGACATAATGAAAGATAGTTACAGTGTAACACAGCCGTCTAACGGTTGCCAAGTCTGGGTGTGTTTTGTTCCAGCAAAGTGCTCAGAGCTCCAGCAAATACGGCTGGGCCACGTGGATAAGCACTTATATGCGACAGCCTGAGGTTCCGCTTTGCAAAGGATCATTGATTTTCCTTTCTCAGTGGTAGCTTAATGACGGTGGTTATCTTTAGATTCAGGTAGGTAGCCGTGTTGGTCTGACGCAGATGAAATAAATAAATAAAATTTAAAAATTGTCCAGTAGCACCTTAGAGACTAAATAAGTTTGTTCTGGGTATAAGCTTTCATCAGAACAAGTGTGTATGCACACAAAAGCTTATACTGTACCCAGAACAAACTTAGTTGGTCTCTAAGGTGCTATTGGACAACTCTTTAATTTTTATTTATTTCGTCTGTAGTTAACTTTATTAGGGTGACAGAAGAAGGGGTAAGCAAGATGCTCAGTGGGTCTTTGTGTGTGTGTGTATGGGGTGGCACTGTGGGACGTGGGTGGCGCTGTGGTCTAAACCACAGAGCCTAGGGCTTGCTGATCAGAAGATTGGCAGTTCGAATCCCAGCGACGGCGTGAGCTCCCGTTGCTCGGTCCCTGCTTCTGCCAACCTAGCAGTTCGAAAGCACGTCAAAGTGCAAGTAGATACATAGGTACTGCTCCGGCGGGAAGGTGAACAGTGTTTCCGTGCGCTGCTCTGGTTCGCCAGAAGCGGCTTAGTCATGCTGGCCACATGACCCGGAAGCTGTACGCCGGCTCTCTTGGCCAGTAAAGCGAGATGAACGCTGCAACCCCAGAGTCGTCTGCGACTGGACCTAACAGCCAGGGGTCCCTTTACCTTTACCTATGGGGGGGGGTGGTAAGTATGAAAAGGAAGTGAAAAGCACACCAGCATATTGGACTCTGTAGATTTCTGGAAAGCACTGGTGAAACATGAAAACACATTACACAAGTATCCAGGAGGACAACACTGATTTAACTGCATCCTAAAACACTTTGGGTGAAATTCTTGAGGACTGAGGTAGGACCCTAAGCAATGTGGGGGTATGCAAAGAAGTATGGGTTGTTTCATAGGGGTTGTTTCATAGCTTCACATGAATAGGGGACAGAACACAGACATCTGAAATACAAAAACATAGGAAGCTACCTTTGTTTCCTCTAGCTCAGAACTGAGATGCATGTCAGTGAAATTTGTTAGGCTGGTGGATACAAGAAAAAGGATATCTGGGATAATGATTAGCATGCATTTTGAACTCACAGCTGTCCATGGAGGTGCAGGTCAATTCTGTGTCTAGGGCAGCTATCTACCAGCTGCATCTGGTATGCAGGCTGAGACCCTACCTGCCCGTGGAATGTCTTGCCAGAGTGGTACATGCTCTAGTTATCTCCCGCTTGGACTACTGCACGCGCTCTATATGGGGCTACTTTTGAAGGTGACCCAGAAACTGCAATTAATCCAGAATGCAGCAGCCAGACTGGTGACTGAGAGCAGCCACCGAGACCATATAACACCAGTCTTGAAAGACCTACACTGGCTCCTAGTACGTTTCCAAGCACAATTCAAAGTGTTGGTGCTGACCTTTAAAGCCCTAAACGGCCTCGGCTCAGTATACCTGAAGGAGCGTCTCTACCCTCATTGTTCAGCCTTAACACTGAGGTCCAGCACCAAGGGCCTTCTGACGGTTCCCTCACTGTGATACGGGAAGTTGCAGGGAACCAGGCAGAGGGCTTTCTCGGTAGTGGCGTCCGTCCTGTGGAATGCCCTCCCATCAGATGTCAAAGAAATAAACAACTATCTGTTGGCAACCCTGTTTACGGAAGTTTTTAATGACTGATGTTTTAATGTATTTTTAATCTTTTGTTGGACACCTCCCAGAGTGGCTGGTGAAACCCAGCCAGATGGGCAGGGTATAAATAATAAATTATTATTATTAATATTATTATTATTATTCATGTTTTAGAGCTGAAGGAGAGATCTATAGCCAAAAGATGGGGGGGATGACATTCTCCAGCATTCTAAGAGGAAACATTAGGTACAAAATAAATAATTTAAGTCCCTTCTGGTGAGTGGGAGACCCTTTAAAGCCTGCAATATATTAGTTATTCCCCAGTGACAAACAGTTTAACTAGAAATTTAACAACTTCAACATGTGTGTATATTAAAATAAAAATTAAAAAATGTTTTCTTGATACCAGCAGAGCTAATTATCAAAGCACTGGGAAACTAACCTGGCTAAACATTTTTATCCCCCTAAAGGCATATCATTAGGTCACACAGCTTCTAATTAAAACAGTGTATTGTCATGCATACTACATTTGTTGTAGAAATCTCTTCCTCATTTTGAAAGGTGGGATGCTAGCATACAAACAAATAAAGCAGCAGTACAGGTTTTATTCAACTTCTATTTATTTAAAAGGAGTGGTGGTGAGGATAGCTAACCTAAGTTGGAATTTTAGAAACTACTGGCAATTATCTCTTTCTGACCTTTTTTTTCCTTTCTCACTCCTTGCCCTTACTTTTCTCACACAGATACAGAGCCTTTTTTGTTACCGTTTCAAATCTTCTCATCTCCTCCCCCCCCCCCCAAGTTCAACCTTATAATATGATGATGAAGCCTTGGCCCAGTATACCTGAAGGAGCATCTCCACCCCCATCATTCAGCCCAGACACTGAGGTCCAGCTCCAAGGGCCTTCTGGCAATGAGAAGGGCCTTCTGGCACTTCCCTCAATGAGAGAAGTGAGGTTACAGGGAACCAGGTAGAGGGCATTCTCAGTAGTGGCGCCCGCCCTGTGGAACACCCTCCCTTCAGATGTCAAGGAAAGAAACAACTACCTGACTTTTAGAAGACATCTGAAGGCATCTCTGTTTAAGGAAGTTTTTAATGTTTGATGTTTTATTCTGTTTTTAGTGTTCTGTTGGGAGCCGCCCAGAGTGGCTGGAGAGGCCTGGCCAGATGGGCATGGTATAAATAATAAAATTAGTAGTAGTAGTAGTAGTAGTAGTAAAAAAATAGCAAGCTGTGCTTGCAAGAGCAATTTGATGGCTGGGAGCTGCTGCTTCATCTTTAAACTCCTGCAGTTTGCTGCACTGAGACACCAGACCTCCTTGTGGCGGGGCGGGGGAGAGGCATTGGGCAGACTGACCAACATTCATAGCCTGCTCTTTGGAATTGAAAGATCCAGCTCCTCTACACAGCAGCAGCCCGCAGTAAAGTTACCCAACAAGCACTAATAAACCACAAGCAGCCGCTTCGCAGAAGAGGTAAATCGTTCAACTCCAAAGTGGTCACCTGCACATTAGGCCCTGGCTCCTAGTGGGGAAGGGGGCAGCTGTTGAGTGGGAGTTATGTAGCTGGGCCAGGTTGGTGGGTTGTGTAGGAGTTCCTTTGAACTGGAGATGCAGGGAACTGGACTTGGGGGGACCTTCTGCATACAAAGCAAGGGCGCTATTGCTGCTCCTCCACTATTGGGGGAAGCATGACTATGAATGCCACCTGCTGTACACCACAGGAGGGGAGAGCGCTCTTGTCTGTGGGTCCTGTATGCGGGCTTTCCATAGACATCTGGGTGGCCACTGTAAGAAGAGGGTGCTGGACTAGATGGGCCATTTGCAGGCTGTTATGTTCCCAGAAGCTCTAATTCTCATAATCTGTCGCCTGATCCTTTTAACAGGAGATTCTGATCCGTTAATTGAACTTGGGACCTTCTGCATGCAAAGCATGTGCTCTGGCTGTGAGCTATGGCTCCTCTCCAGACCGTGGGAATGTGGATATGTAGCATATTGGAGAGACATGCCAGCTAAAGTTTAACTGCTGTTTAAATTTTAGCTTGCAAGCAAAATCATGCTCCGATAGTTTCATTATTGGTTTTCAAAAGAGGTTTCCTGCAGACTGTTAAAAGGAAAAGCTTTTGCCATCCTGAGTTCAAAACCTTTGTTTAAATGAGAATATATGATAATCTGGGTGGCTTTTAGAAATGTATAAAACATGCTAGCACATTGAGTCATGCCAGAAGATGAGGAGACAGCATATACTGAAATGAAACTGAGCACAGGGAAAGCTTAATTGCACTTCTGTATGGTAATGCTGTGATATTTCAAGATGTTCTTGTTTAAAATTGAAAGTACAATTGTCAATTCGGGTAGCTACATACTTTTTACATCTCTACCTCCCTTAGGACTAGGTGTTCCACAAAACAATTATTTCACTGAGTCTTTTGGTTACAGTATGTACTGCAGTGGCAGTCGTTTAATTGGCCCCCATCTGTGTTGATACAACCCATTAAGTGACTCAGATACAAGTGTGGGTGAAAACCGGACAGTTTTATTGACATACAGGCATGGGTGGGGATCTGCTGATTAAGGGACTTCTGATCTGAAGTACAACAAACTTCCTCATGGAAGTTATCCAACTTGAGGTTCCAGAGAGGTGTAAGACCAAGTGACTGAGAACACTGAAAACTTTGAGATGGTTACTGAGCACCAAGTTAGGTCAGGGAGCTGTTTGCCTCTCAAGGACCCTTTAAACCACCACCACCCATACATTAAGCTCCCTACCTAAGTTGCGGCAGAGAAGAAGAAATGCCTAGCAAAACTTTGCTACCCACTGGGAGAAAAGCAAAAACCTTCCAGCCTACAGCCAACTGCAGTTGAAAGTTCCTTTCTGACCCTGTTGCCCAGCAGTCACTGAAAGCCTTAGTTGGTGCTGGGAAAGTTTTCCCTCACTGGGGAAGAGTCAAAGAGGGCAATCAAGAAGGCAGCACCTTCTCACCATTATGCCCTCACCCTGCAAAATCCTGCTAGGCCATGTGAGGTGTAGAGCATGTCCCCCCTATATCTGGCAAGGTTTGTTGATCCTCCCCACACTTGTAGCCATGGTGACCATTGCACCACCCTGCAAATCATCCAGACACTGTCAACAAGCTCAGCAGGTGCAGATGTTATGCATACAGTGGTGCCCCGCAAGACGAATGCCTCGCAAGACGGAAAACCCGCTAGACGAAAGGGTTTTCCGTTTCTGAGTTGCTTCGCAGGACGAATTTCCCTATGGGCTTGCTTCGCAAGATGAAAATGTCTTGCGAGTCTTGAGATTTTTTTTCGCTCCCCCCCCCCCTTTATCTAAGCCGCTAAACCTTTAATAGCCTTTTAGCAGCTAATCTGCTAAGCCGATAAGCCTTTAATAGCCGCTAAACCGCTAATAGCGCTAATCCGTTAAGCCGCTAATAGGGTTGCTTCGCAAGACGAAAAAACCGCTAGACGAAGACACTCGCGGAACGGATTAATTTCGTCTTGCGAGGCACCACTGTACTTTCTTCCCACACTGAGATTGCATCATGAAATACAGAGAACTTACATTCAGATCTGCAGGTTTAGTTTGCT